CAGGCTAACAGAAAATAATTCTTTAAAAAAAATCACAATCACTTTACAAGTAAAAAAACAACAACAGTAGGCTAAACATTAAACAAAAAGAGTAAATCGGATAAAGACATCAAACATCAAAATGAACATCTACTGAACATAAATCACATTTAAAGTATACAGATTTCATTATGCTGAATGCAATGTATCAACAGCATATCAGCCTAAAGTTTTTAATAATAATAAAAGCACATTTTATTTAAAGTGCCTTTCAGGAAACCCAAGGACACTGTATACACAAAATATTCAACATGCACTATAGTAAAATTGGTGGATGCAGGCAGGGGAGGTATGCAGTCCTGAAAAGATGAGTTTTCAGCCTAGATTTAAACAGAGGTAAAGTGTCAATGTTGCGAATATCTGTAACGATCTTGTTCTGTTGTTTTTCTTTACGTTTTCTGTTTCAAGTTTAGCCAGGTTTTTCATTGTTTTCTAGCTTTTTTGGTGTGTCTGGATTCATTTAAGTTGCTTAGGTTTTTCTGTCTGTCCTCTGCTGCCTCCTTGTGTTCTTTTCCCTTGGCTTCCTCGTCAGCTCTAATCACACCTGTTCCCTATCAGCTCATTAGCTCTACCTTTGTTCAGTCAGCCATAAATACTCTCCCTCTGCATTCCCTCTTTGCTGGTTCCTCGTCTTACCTTTCCTCACCCTGGCTCCTTGTTGGTTTTTCCCTGATGTCTCCAAGGTTCTGGTTAGTGTTTGATTTTTATGTTGGATTTTTGGATTCCTGTTTTTGTTTAACATTTTTTAAGTTGGATTTTTGGATACCTGTTTTTGTTGCCTGATCTCGCATTAAACCCTCCAAGAACTCACCTCTGCCTCTCAGCTTCTGTTTTTTTGTCCAATTAAGAAACGTTAAATCAAATCGTGACAATATCAGGTGTGGGTGAATTTCAGAGTTTAGAAGCAGAGCAACAGAAAACGAGGCGCACAGGAGACTCAACAAGATGGATGGAAGAGGAAGATCTAAGGGTACGTGAGGGCAAAATTTTGTAATAAAAATATTTAATATTTGAGTAACTAAATATATCTGCATTAGGTGTAAGTAATAGGTTTTCTTTAAATAAGGGGCCATTACAACGCCACCCACCCCAACATTAAATGGTTTAGGAGTAAATATTAAAAATAAACTGAAGATGAGCCATGAACAGGTTCAGGAACAGAATTGCAGAAGAATGATGCGCATTCAGTGCTAGGTAAGAAGCAATGCGATTATCAATATGTGATTTTAAAGTATAGGATCCACTAGGTAGTGTAAGGGAGAAAAACATTTTTTTCTGTTACAGCAATACTTTAGCTTAGTGCAAAAAGAGCAGAATGATGGCAGAGGTCCTGGCGCAGTGTAACAGACAGACCAGAGCCAGCTGAGGCGGGGGCAGCATGAGCGAGCACCAAATTCGAAAATTTACGTTAATTTAAATGATCCTACACTGTGGCCAACAAAAATAACTGATTCTGAAAGAGCAAAAAGGAAGCCTTTCTCAGAGATGGAAAATGAACTGCCAGCAGATTGAGAGTGCAGAGAATCCCCAAAGTATCTAACCTATTCTACCTCCCACAATTGAAAGGAAAAAATTTAGGGACTGGCTAATATACAGCAGGTCAAAAAAGGCCATATTTTGCCATGCTTGCTGTTCTACTATGAAGGAGAAAATATCCAACATAAAATACAGAAAGTTCAATGAAAGATTTCCAAGGCATGAAAGAAACTGTGCACACAAACATTGTTATTGGAAATGGAAGAACCTGTTATGTATTTTCTTATCTCTACCTGTGACTATTACTTTACTATAATAAAGTTCATCGTTTGGCATTTGGAGACCAAGTCTAACCACATTTATGAAGTGAAGTTTTAAGTTTGTTTGGAAGACAGAACAATATTTCTGTAAGCAGCAGATTATTGAATAAAATATTAGGCAAAGAATAATGATGTATGCAATTAAGTTGACTTTTGTGTGTGTGTGGAGGGGGGTGGGGGGTGTTGTGGTGTAGAGGAGGGTCCAAAAAGACTGTGTTGTCCCGGGCCCTAGCAAAACTGTCAGCTGGCCTGCGGGAGGGGGTAGCAATCTGAAGAACTTCTGAGATTTTTGGGTGGAATAAAGATTATGGCTGACCTTGAAGATCTTGAACTGGATTCTGCAGCTGATAGGAAGACGGTGAAGTTCCTTTGGGACTGGGTTGATGTGATGGAATGAGGGGGTTATAGTAATTAAATGAGTCGCTGAATTGTCGACCAACTTAACCTTATGAAGAGATTTTTCTGGGGAAGGCCAAAAAAAGAGTTGCAGGATGTGACCAGGCTAGGCAAAGACCAGAACAGATGCAGAGTTCAGGGAAAGACAGGAACAAAGACACTGACTGTTTCATAGGTGGAAATAGGCAGAATGGGTAATGTTATTGATATGGGAGGTGAATGAGAGAGTGCTATCAAGGATGACACCCAGACTCTTGACCTCAGGAGACGGAAAATAGAACCATGATGATGCAAATTGAATAGCAACCTGCTTCTTTTATATTTGGAGAATTAGTTACAAGAAAACAATCAGGGGGACCAGATTATTGCACATTGAGTAATATAGAGTTTTAGTTTTACACTTTTAAGAAATGATGCAATTTTTTCGACCATTATAGTCTTTTGTCTTAAAAGATCTGTTAAAATCTGTTAGGATCCAACATCTGTTTAACTAAGAGACCACACTAGTTTTAACCTTTGTCCAAATATTTCTTTGCTCTCAGTGGCAAACAACTAGATATTTATGTGATCAGTTTATGTTTTATAAATTACTATCTAATCATTGTGCTTCATCAGAACAGATTTTATGCCAGGAGAAAAAAAAATCATGTCTGAAATTTTAAATATATATAAGAATTAATGGGACTAGGAATTGAAGCTTCCAGCTGCCTTAGGTTAGGAGGATAAGATAACCTTTTTGTATATAACATTTGAGTTTAATATGCTTTGGTTATTTCATTGAAAAATGAAATTAACTCATTGTATACTTTACATTGATTACTTCATTACAGAATTACAGAGGACTTGAGTCGTAGAAAAGACTCATATAACTGGGATAACATTAGTCTGATGATTAAAGGGAAGACTTTGATTCAGATTCATAAAATCTGAACTGAAGATGAAGTTACAGCTTTAAGACCTACATGAACTGAACTGTCTTAGTTTTTGTACTATGCCCCCAATGAACTCTAGACATATCATCAGCAGTAATACCTAAACTTAAAAAAAAAATAATGCACTGCACTGGAGTTCAGTAGTACCATGACTATCTGGCAATAAAAGCAAACTTTGTTTAGAAATTGATGTCGAGTGAAAGAGCACAGAACAAAAGGTTCAGTGTGAATTTACCACAGCCAGTAATGATTCAAAAGCCTTATCATTAGCTAATAATTGCCAATTCTGTTTCTTAAGTGAGAAGTCCGAGCAGCCATCTAGCAGGAAATCCACTCGAACAAATAAAGTTTGATTTGGTCTCGCAGTCATCTTTTTGATTAACGGACTTCAAAATTACAGGTACCATAACCTTAAATAACAGAATGGGAGGCATAGAAAGGATTTTTTTCATCATCCAACTTGTGTCATTGTGTAGTGGTGCAGAAATGAAGACATCCACACATGATCTGAGCCCTTTGAGTTCAGATTTATTGATACGGCTGTGCAGTCACAGAGCATGGTGGCACACACGGCCGCCTGGCCAGCATGGGACAGTGACACACACATGCACGTGCATCCACGCACACTCTAAGTCATTCTGCCCACCCAAAGAGGCAGAGGACAAAATTTATCAGTTTTTAAGATAATTCACCAATCTTATCACTCTTAAACCCTTGCAGTCAGAGTCTACAGTTCGAGCCACTATGTTGCTACAGTTTTATTATCAAAATCTGATTAGCAACATCAGCCAACTTGGTTAGAACTGGAGGATCTATTGATTCGTATGGCCAGATTTACACAGTACACTGCATCTATTTTTGTTTAATCATCTTTCTCTCACAAGCACTCATGTCTCTTACAAGCACTCATGTAGTCAGGCATCCACAGAGCAGGTCACAGTGAGGAGATCAGAAATGCAGGTTAAGTGTTTTCGGAGCTCACACACTCTCATAGACACTCTCAGACACCCATCTACTCTCAGCCATTAGATCAATGGTAGCTGAGATCAGTCGTTACAGAGATAAAACAGGGAAACAAAGCATTAAACAGACTGTTTGACTGTAACCAGAACAAAACACCATATTTAGAACTCTTTACAAGTCGGCATACATCTATGTTTCCTATTGTAGTTGGTATAAAGTCCTGTTAAATGCTTATATGTTATAGGCTATCACAGTAGCTAGAAGAACATAGAGCAAAAATTACAAGTCTGTACATGTGTTGGTCCAGAAAACATATTATGCTTTACCAAGTGTCAGGCAGCCTATTACAAATATTGTTTTAGTCTAACATTTAAAGATTGTTTCACGTTACATTTAAAGATTAGAGTTTTCTTCTGACTTCAGGGCTGGTGCAGAAAAACAATACGACACACACACACAGGGGAGACATAGCTTTTAAAAAAGGAACGATAAGGGGGACCAGAGAGAAAATTAAGACTGAAAACATGACCAGAGGCTGCACATAGTAGCTATAAAATAGACATATATAAATCAAAGTGAGCAAAATTTAGCGCTGAAAAACTGATAGAAAAGCACAACTAATTTATCAGTTAGACCAGGATCAGAAAAAGATTTTAACAAGGTTATTGTGACATGGAAAGTACAGATAGAGGCACACATTTAGCCAGATGGCCTTCTAACCACTGACTGCATCGTTTAGATAGAATATGGTTTTGGTGGATGAGAAACTGCAATAAGTTGGTTGTAAATTAAAAAGAACATAAAAAAAAATAAAAAATCAATCCGGGTATTTAATGTTTCCCTCTTTTTAATGTTACTTTTATAATGTTTTTTATTTTTTTTTTAATAATAAATTTTCAACCCCCTAAACTGTAAGGATATAGCTATAATTTGCATTATATCATATACAGTTATTCTACAAAGCTTTAACTTCATACAGAAAATGTGGTTATTTTAACTAAAAGAAATGAATAGTTTGATGTTTAAGGAAAATAATTTCATTCTCCACAAATACTGCTCAGATGTTTCTTTTCTTCCCTGGAAATTAATGTACTGAGCACAAGTGCATTACAAAGGTATTGGCTGAACTTGAACACTTTGGCAAGTTATAACCACAAACTTCATTGTATTCTGTTAAAATGCCATTTCATAAACACTCACAAAGGGGAACATCATTATGAAGTGGAAATGACTGAAAATCCCAAATAAAATCCAGTACAACTGCTTTGAGAATTTATCAAATTAGGAAACAGATTTAATCTGTTTGCTATTTATTTCAGTATAACTCTCTATATTTTCTGAGGCCCTCAGGAGTTTGGAAATTAAAGGGAAATGTCATTTAATCTAACTGAGCTTGTAGAGACCTAAAAGACTTGCAGGAGTAAGAGAATCTGTTGATGGAATGGGAACTGATTCAGGTCAGGATGACACGTGGATGCACACTTTTGAGATATTAATAAAAACAACATGGTGAACATTTTTCTTCCCCATCACAGTTAATCATTCCTTTTTTTTGTTGACCACAGCACTGAAAAACAAAAAAATAATCCCACATTGAAGTTTGTGATTGTAACATAGCAAAATGTGAGAAAAAAATATACAAATATACAAAGTACAAATACTTTTGCTAGGCACTGGTTAAAGTGAAAACTGACCCACGTGTCCAATATAGTATATATGTAAAGTGTGCAATAATTACAAATTTTATGTACAACATTAAAACTCAGAATCATGGCAGAAAAGAAGCACATATGCTTTGGATTTGCTGTTTCAGATTAAAAATTAAAGTTTGGGTTTGTCAAGTGGTGTACGGGCACGCTGTAAACACAATGATAAAATGTTGCAACAGCGACCAAGAATAGGAAGCTTCTGGGAGAAAACTGTACTGCTGAACAAAAGCAAAAAAAATTTATAATAATATGAGTAATTTTGCAACAATGTGGAGCTCTTGCTACAGCTTCAAAACACATCAGAAGGCATCGAGTAAACACACAATGTGAAAATATTAGATATGCAGTGCATAAATATTACAACACATTAATGCAAAACAAAATATATTTTAGATAAAATTATTTACAAAACTCAAATGTATTTGCACATGTGATATGTTGAAATTACAAAAAGCTGCTTTCCTATTTTTTGGACTTTTTTTCCACCACATTTATATTAAATTATTTATTAAAAATATTTTTCTTACTGGACATTAGATGGATTTAAGCTTCTTATCCAGGCATCAATAAACATTACATTTATTTACAAGAAAAACAACACAAAAACAACAACAACAAACAAAACATTTTGTACCTGGCTGCAAGGAAACAAATAATTTAAAGATTAAGGAAAACAATATCAAAGTAAAGATAGGTTTCCTGTGGCTTTAGCAACCATAAGGAGCACTCTGAGGAAAATATTTTCTAAGATTTGATTTGTTTAAGGAGTACTTGGTATTAAAACAGTAGTGCTGAAAGACCTGTGGTCTTAACCTCAGTTTACTGTACAGACAAAAGATGCACATGCAGGATGGACTTTGTAAAATTCCCCTAGATATTTAACTATTCTGCACATAAAGCAACAAATAACCTAAGTCCATCTCTGAAATAATATAGCCAATAAAGATGGATGCACAATGTGGAAGTAGAACTTTTAAAATAGCTACATGAGGTTATTAAAAAAATGTAATACAAAGGAGAATAAAATATCGCAGAGGTTGGAGGTGAGTGTGTTATCCCCATGCTATTCAGGTTAAGGTAAAAAACCAATACAGAAAAAAAAAATTACATTGCACCTGCCTGTGTACAAAAAATTAAACCATAATACATGTGAAAAAGCAATTAAAATCCAATGACAAAAACCACAAAAGGAAGTGAAGGTGTGAGTTTTTCAGTCATCTCTAGGGGGCAGCAGAGCCCAACAGTTGGCCATTCATCGCACCCTCACAAAAGATGAGGGCAAAGTGAATCTGGTCATGATGCTCCTCTCCTCTGCTATTCCATCACGGCATCTGTTTGGATACAACAGGACAAAAAAAATCCAGAATTAGGAAAATATAGTTTGCAAATGTCGCCATTTGTAAATCAGTCATTGCTCCAATTCCCACACACAATTATCATGTCGTCACATTTTAGTATGTGTATAGTTCATACTTCAGGCTTTTACCAGCACATAAAACTCACCACTTGTTACTTTGCTCTTGTTATCTTCACCATCTGGAGATCCAGCCCCCTCTAACAACTCTCCTGAGAAACAAAAATCCTACTTTTATTTCTGAAATAGACTGATTATTATCCTTTTTAACTGCGGTCTTATATTTGGTTGTCATGCTTTGTTTTAAGTGAAAAAGGGTTAAGGTAATTTTATGTTTCTTTTTAAATCAACCAGAATGTATTTAGAAAAATATGAACTCACAATTAGTGTCTTTATTGATAAATCAGCATGACTATTTGAGTATGTGTTAAACTCTGTGTAAAACATTATTAAAACATTCAGTGTAGCTGTACTTGTATCGTAGCACAGTAGAGATGCACTCGATTTTGGCTTGAGATCGGCCAATTTTAAGCCCCTATCGGCCATAATGTATAACTAACTGGAAACTTAAAATTTGCCACTTTTTATTAATCAGTTAATGCATCACAATACAAAACTCTTGTATATAAACATTTATAAGAAAAAAGAAGCACAGTTACTTTGGGTCAGTAGGATGCTTACAAGTATGTCAAACATCGAGGAACTTTTAAAAAGGTGACAATATTTTCTATGGAGTCATGTCAGCTGTTTACTTTGAGCACAACAATAGAGAACTAATTTCCAACAAGTACTGCACTTTTTTTAAAGCCAAGTTGTGCTTCTGGCAATTTTGGATGTACTCGTACTAGTTTCTTCCACTTCACCCATGACTGGGTTGCGGGGGGAGCAGTCTCAGCAAAGATCCCTGGACTTCCGTCTCCTTAGACACCTCTTCCAGCTCCCAGACAAGCCGAGAGACATAGTCCCAACAATGTGCCCTTGGTTGTCCGCTGGGCCTCCTCCCGCTGGGACATGCCTGGAACTTCTCCTGAGGGAGACATCCAGGGGGCAACCTAAAGAGATGTTTAAGCCACCTCAGCTGACTCCTTTCGATGTGGAGGAGAAGGGGCTGTACTCTGAGCATCTCCCAAATGACTGAGCTCCTTACCCTATGTCTATAGAAGAGCCCAGTTACCTTGATGAGAAGGATCATTTCGTCTGTTTGTATCTGGGATCTTGTTCTCTCAGTCATGATCCAGATTTCATGACCATAGGTGAGTGTAGAAACATAGTCCAATTGGTAAATCGAGAGCTCTATCATTTTGCTCAGATCTTTCTTCACCACGACAGACCAGTGCAGCGTCTGCATAATAGCAGCAGCCACACCGATCCATCTATCAGACTCCTGCTCTATTCTCCCCTTACTCGTGAATAGGACCCCGAAATGAGATCAGCTAGTCCCTGCACCAGACCCCCTCCTGCCCTTGGCTACGCTTTGAAATCCTGTCCATAAAGATTATGAACAGGACCGGTGAGGGAGGCCAGCCCTGTTAGAGTCCAACATGCATCTGGAACAAGTCTGACTCAATGCTGGCAATGCTTACGAAACTCCTGCTCTGCTTGTACAGAGCTTGTAAAGATCCCCTAACTCCATACTCCTGAAGCATCCTACCAGAGGGCACTATGAGGAATATGGCTGAATGCCTTCTCCAGGTCCAGAAAGGACATGTAGACTGGTTGAGCAAACTCCCAAATGCCCTTGAGAAGCCTGCAGTAAGTATAGAGCTTGTCTACTGTTCCACAACCAGGACAAAAACTGCACTGCTCCTCCTGAAGCTGAGGTTCGGCAGTCATTTGGACTCTCCTTTCCAGCTCCCTGGCATAGGCCTTACCAGGGAGGCTGAGAACTCAGCTTCCTCTTTAATTGGAAAACACCCTCCAGTCTCCCTTCTTATATAGGGGAACCACCACTCTGGTCTGCCAATCCAGGAGCACTGTCCCAGGCCTCCGCGTCATGTTGAAGAGGCAGGTCAGCCATGAAAGCCCATCAACATTTTGGACATTTTGTACCAAAATCTTTTGGAGTACAAACATAGGTCTCCCACAGGATATAAATTTATGATCAGTTCCGTATGTAAATCATTGCACCTAAGAACCATGGAACACACCATGACTCTCTGATCAGTCCATTTCAACAATACAAGGCTAGTTTTTTTATGTCAAATCACAATACTAAATAATTGTCCATCAAATTCTGAGGAATAGTTTTTTTATCACCAATTGGATTAAAAAGTACAGGACAGTATCATAAGATGTACCGTTTTGCAGCAAGGGACTATGGGGTGTAGTACTCCCTGGGGACTTTGCCTGCTTTGGTTCCCCTGAGTTTCCATCTGCTGACCTGCTGACCTCTGCCGACACCTTGCTGTCTAATTTATTCTCCTTCTGTTCAGGGCATACAGACTCTGTCTGGACCTCCTGAGGTTCCATAGCCTCCTCCTGCTGAGCTTGCTCCTCCGCTTCCTTTTTACCTCTCTCCTCTGCTTCTAGAGTCACATAAGAGATAATGGTCATTTAGCAAGTCCGGGACTTCATTTACAGTTATGAGTTAATATTGACGTAAATTGACAACGATGAAACTGAAAGGAGTTTGACATGTGGACATTTTCAGTTGATACTTCATAAACAAGGATATCTTAAAGGGGTCATAGAATGCAAAACCGAGTTTACAATGTCATAGATGAATAACAATACTGTAGTTCAGTGGCTGAAATGGACAGAGAAGTTCAAACCCCATCGGCACCTCCTTTTTCTGCAAATCTCACAATTCTAAACTTCTACCATAAAAGAGGCAAATCAAAACGAAGCCCAGAGTTGATGTAAACTCAGAGAAGTTGCCTTATTTGGTGCTGGCCTGTACTTTTGTCATCCCCGAAATGTTTATACAGACCAGCCCAGTGGTTCACTTGCCCAACAACATGAATAGAGGTTGCGAAGATGTAAGACACCAGTTTAGCTGTTTAGCCTACAGTTTGGTTTGCTTCTACAATAATTAAAAAGCAGGAAGTTTCTCTACTGAAAATGAGCCAGGACCATGGGCATAAATGCAGTTTTCCAGGCTGCACAGAGAAAGGGGACATTTTTACAGTCTTCACCAGGATCTGAAGACTCAACAGGCATGGATTATTTTTGTCTATCAGAAGATTCCTGCAGAGTTTTATGCTCAGCTGTTCATTTGCTGTAAGCATTTTACTAAAGACAGCTTTCAAAATCTTGGACAGTTCAAAGCAGGATTTGCTAAACTTCTTTTCCTAAAAGGAGGGGCTGATCCGACCGTAAGGCCATCACAACCGCAAGCTGTATTATTCTTTCGCTGAGCTGTTAAGAGCAATGCCAGCATATCTAGGGTGACCAGATTTGGGTTTTTGAAAGGGAGGACAATTTTTTTTGACTGGACCGGACCTCAGCAGAGAGCCATGAGCCGCCCATCCTCAGCCGGAGAAGGGGGGCTGGGGGCCGGTAAGGCAGCCGGGGGGAAGCACGGGGCTGTCGGTGCCCAGGCTACTGTCACTGGGTCGGGTTTGGTCGCTCCATCCCCCGCTGGCTTCCTGCCCCCGTACGCCGGGAACCCGTACAGCCCTAGAGCTGATGGCTCGGTTCGAGTGCCTGGTGTGTTTCAACTATGTGCTGCCCTGTAGTCAACCAAAATCACGGATGATTTCGACCCCCCCCCCCCCCCCCCCCCCCCCAAACATTTTTTTAGGTATGAATAGTAGCACATGTCCAGGAAAAAGAGAATGTCATGTGGTCACCCTACCCTATCAACAATTTCGATGTGTCAGTGAGTGAGTGCTTGTTGCTCTGATGCGTCTTTGCTCAGCAGCCTCGATCGTTGTAAAAAAAACAATCAGTGCACAGCTCATCTAACATTCATGAACATACCATAAAAGGAAGTAAAGCTGTCGTTTCATTCCAGGGCTTTTAACCAGGCTTGCATTGGGTTGCATAGAACAGCAAATATGACCTTTTTAGCCCAACCAATGTTATACACCTTATTCAGAGACCTTAAGGACCAGCACCAAAACCCTATATAATCATTCTATGACCCCTTTAAAATTTAATTAAGCTAAATATCATTCACACTTTTAACCACTTGGAGGCAGCCAAAACCTTCTGTGAAAAATACTTTACATTTTAATAGCAGTGAAAGATTGGTAGATGTCAAGCACATTGTTCTCAACAACCAAGAAGTTATTTTATATTACAAATTTCACAATATTTTTGCTTTTGGTTGGGTGTCAAACATGTTCTAAAACACGTCAAAGAAAGATTTGTTACACAAAAAACTATAACAATCACTAAAATATATGGCAGCAAATTTAGTTTCCAGTGCCAAATGAATAACAGAATTCAAAGTAAAACTGACATTAACCCCACCGTGTGCAAGCTAAACACTTTTGGTTTAAGTATTCTAATCATTCCAATGTCAACATCTTGCAGTCATTTCAGACAAACATATTTTGCTTGGTATGATAAGCTTTAGGGGTTGAACAGTACCTTTAGTAGCCTGGGCTTTCCATCTTTCCCTGTTCTGATAAACCTCCTCATTCCACAAGGCCTTAAAGTTTTTAATGTCCACCGTCAGAAGGGAACTTTGGCCAGACGAGCTGCTGTCAGAGCCCATGCTCTTGACACTGTGCCTTTTGGTTTCATCAGAGCTAATACTGTTCAGACTGAAAAGAAAATGAATATAACAGAAGCATATTAAACACTTTAAAAAGACAAAAAGTCTACAGCCACATTTTATCTTCTTTAGAGCATCTTTGACAGGTAAGTGGTCTGTCAAAGGTGCTCCTTTTTCTATATCCTATTGATTTATGTTTTTTTTAAATAAATCTATTTTTATCTTCTTATTCCAATCATCTTTTTATTGCACTAACTACAAAAATAAAAGATATTGCTATGTTGCTATGGTAAATATATGTAAAAAATATAAGTAAATCACAACAAATACACACAAACACATAGAAGTGGTAAAAGTATTATCAGCTACATTGTTTTTTCTTTTTTTTTTTACATTTCCTGTCATAGCAACATTATCTTCATATACTTATACCATGCTTATAATTTATACCCTTAAGCTTTTGAAGATTGTAACTTTTTTTTTAAGGCCAGCACTGTGTATCGTTTAGTGACCCAACAGTCTTTAGAAAGAAGACAAAGTGCTAAAAATCCTCGCTTGGGGTCTTTCATGCATGTAGTTTGCATATTTTCCCCATGCATATATGGGTACTATCATGGTAGCCCATCTTCCCTGCCAGTACAAAGAAAAATTACTGTTTTGTTGATCTGAACTGCCACTTTAATATGGTGGAGGGGTATCGGTGATCATGTGATCTCTGAGTCTATGTTTTTAGTGGCTAAAATGCCCCTGATAGGGTCTCCATAAGCTCTGGGTGACAGGTTAGACATAGAGCGTTTCAAAAAGCCCTTATGATGACCAAAAGAAGCATAGCAATTTAATAGCAATTGCCTAGTAAAACTGAATCTAGTCGTCAACCAGACGAGAGGTGTCGCTATATCTTCCAGAAATAGTGAAGTTCACCACACAGTGCCTGGGCTCTTAAAATCAGACATTTGAGACTTAGGTCTGGGAGAAGATTGGAGAGAACATAGAGAGAGCCTATCGTCTGGCCTCGAGTTGATTCTGTTATACCTCAAAAGGGGGAATAGTGGCTTTACTAACACTGTTTTTAGTGGGAATAGGAAGCTGCTGACCTTTACTGAGGACATTGATGGATGGTGGAAAGAATAATTTTGAGGATCTCGTCTGACCAGTTAACATGCCTTTCCTAGCTTAGGCAGAAACTGGGTGCTCGAAGCCGGACTTGTTCATCTCCCAGGTTGAAGTCTCCAAGGTGGTCAGAAAACTGTGGTTGGAAGAATTCAGGGGTGGATAAGGTACGCCCTAAGTGCCTTCAGTCTCTGGATGTTACTGTACGGGGCAGTTGTGGCTGTGCTTCCCCTTCAACTTCGTGTGCTGGTCTTGGACAAGGCCTCTGGATATGAAGATTGGAGTGATGGTCCCCCTTCTTATAGAGGAAGACCAGAGTATACTATAATTACAGGGGGATCACTACAGGGAATTCCTTGTAATTCGCCTCAAGTAGAGGACAGAGGTTCCACCATGGTTTGTGTGTTGTTAGGTGAAAATGGAGTAGGAAATTGATAGATATATCAGTGCAGCTGTTGCTATAATGCAGATGCTGCACCGGTCTACCATTGTGAAGAGAGAGCTAAGGCAAGGAGAAAGCTCTCAATTTACCGGTTGGTCAAAATTCCATACCTCACTTATGGTCATGAAATCTTGGTTATGACTGAAAGAAAGAGATCCGGGATAGCTAAAATTTGCTTTATAAACAGGGTGACCTGGCACTAATTTAGAGATAGATTACGGACCTTGGCTATTTGAGTGAGTCTTGGAGAAGAACTGCATTATCCCCCATGTCATGAAAAGTCATATGGCTTGGACATATAACCATCCACATACCACTGGGAGGAGTCCCACGTATGGCTCAAGGTACCAATGCATATTGCTGTATCACAGTGTTTTAACAGTTAAATATTTTTAAGAAAAGGATAAAGGATCATAAAAATACTCAAAATATCACATGTAATTGAACCTTTAAAAAATGAATTCAGTCAATGGTCCATTTATTATGTAGTGTAGAAATGAACTTTCTGGGTTATTTATACTGCAGAGCTTAGAATCTTCATGGTAGGCTAATGTAATTTAATTTTGTGGAAAACGACACAATCTATGTAGGGAAACAAATGAATACTGGTGCAATAGATATGAGTCTTAATAGCAACTTGGGATAATTAAATATTGTTAATAAACTGCATAAAGAAAGCTAGAAGCACCTGGATGTCGACAAGTACAGCAGCAATTTCTCATTTTTTCACTCCGTTTAATTCAACTGGAGCATCACTGAGCCAATAACAATTATGGCTGATGAACAAAAAGGCAAGGTTGAGAATGATGCCCTGTTGCAGGCATGGATGCGTAGCAAGACGGTTAAATAACTGCTTTTTTATCCAATAATAAGGCTTTTCAAGACGGAAAGTGCTTTTAAACTATCCTTTTCGGCATAACTTCTTTATTAAAACACAATGTTAGGGGAACTATATCTTACATAGGTGTCACCTCTCAGAGCTTTGCATGTAAATCATATAAACGAAGGCTAGAAAAAAAGTACTGAGCCAACAAATTAAACCAGTGAAGAGAAATTCACTTCCTTTTATTTCTCCATGGTCAAATGTGTAGGCCAGCTCAGCTTGAAGGCTCACTGATGATTGTGGTTGATGAGCAGGGCTTGACTAGCGTCTCTAAAGTGCCAATTTCAAGGTGTGTGGCTTTGCTAGATGAAAGGTGGAGACATTTCCATGCATAAAAATGGATTACTCATGGGAGGCATCTGTTGTTCTCCATACTTCCATTTGACATGCTGTTGCAGAGGAGCTGTAATGGTTCTGTCATGCAATTTTACGAACAGTTGTTCAGATAGGTTTGAAAGGTGAAGGCCCTTGCCAGGTGATTAAAATCTAGTCTGGTAGATAAATCTAGATTAAGTTATAACTACCTCCATCTTCGTTAATGTGTTATTAAGACACATTCAAAGATCATCTTTGTCCAAAATATTTCTGTTAACTTACCTAGAACGTCTAAAATTGGATAGACCAGAGTGGGAAGCCTCGTCGATGAGCGGAGTGACAATACGCTCCATCATGTCAGTCAGCACAGTAAAAGTGGGCACCACAATGAAGTCTATGAAACCTGGTGACAAACATAGCAAACTATTTTCAGGAAAGAAGTGGGGACCAGACAATTATTGAGAGGTTATAAAACATTAATCTGCAACCCAAAATAAGTTACAACACATGTTGCTGCATTGATAACCTTTATTTTATCAGGTAGGTTTAATACGGCTTATATGGCCAAAAAATAGTGTGCTATAATAAGTCAAAGCCAATAAGAAACCAGGTTAGTCTGCTGCACACACATACTGTACATGTGGGTTAGAAAGCTATAAAAACCCACAAATATAGGCTGTTACTATGTTGAATCCGTCAATAGTTACGTTAGTAAGTAAGGTTTTTTATTTTATATAGCACCTTTCTCAGACAAGCGTCACAAAGTGCTGTACAATACAAGGCTTAAAATACAAGGCTGCAGGTGAGCCAAACTTTAGCCATTTGTAGCGTGCTCTATCCGAGCAGGGGAGTTGGCCATTTTGGGCCACTCGCCTAGTTATAATCTGGAGCCTCTTTTCTTTGCCCTCTTCCTGAGAATATTCGAGTACGAAAAAATACCAGGTACTCTGGTAAGACGTTTGGTCACACAAGAGGTGGGGGGAAGGTTTGTTTGTAGCTATCCCAGTCATGGAAAAGACACTCCATTGACTATGTGATATAAAAAAGGGAGTCCCGATTATAACTCCACACTGTTGATATACCATCACAGGGGATCAGGGCTGCTATGAGAGCAAAAATTGTTGTGATATAAATAGAGGGTTTGCTAAGAAGCAGATGTGCAGAAGCAAATCCAGACACAGGCGTCATTAAAGGAATGGTGTAGTAAATATGTACATCCTTTGATCTGCTGTTAATGCCCTGCTTTTAATGACTGACTTAATTCAATTCAGTTCATTTGAATAGAATTCAATTCAATAAGTAATCAATTACATTACTATTTCCTGGTGGAATCATTGCTAGAAAGAATTCTGCTCTCTTCTTGATTTAACTGTGTTAAACAGCTTTTTATTTTCACTGTCACAAATACAGAGCAATGAAGTTCAGTCTTTGCATTTAACCTACATGTGCGGCGCCCGGGGAGCAGTGTGGGGTTAAGGGTCTAGTCATTATGACTAAAATGCTTGTGCAAATTTACTCACACTAACAGTACAAATATCAACAGATTGAAAAGCTTGCAAAGCTTTTCTTTGGAAACAAAAATAAATAAGTATATAAAATAAGTTGTTTTTATTTGACTACTAATTGAAGTTTTAACCCATTGCAGTGTTAATGTCCTATACTTTCTTAATTTCAAATGAGTCTCCTTAAGGAAAAAGACAATCTTGAACAGGTTTGGTGGTGTAATAAAAGAAACAGTTGAGGAAAAAGCCACTCACCAATCTGTGACTGTGCAACTAATGTGGACTTTCTGTCACACAGTGGAGAGAACGGCAACCCTAGTTCGGCTTCTTTATCCCCCTAGAAAAACATCAATTTAAACAGTGAAAGAATTATAGATTGGTTTCCTAAAAAAATACACCACAACCTTTGATTTACCGAGTCTTTTCAGGCCATACGTTTGCTCTATTTTCTCCGCCAGTTTATCTAAAACTGATAAGATAGGCAATCAAGAGGCGATATTGTGTGAGGAAGCAATTTCCTATCAATTCCCTTCCTAGTAGACTTCTTATAGAAGTAGGCACAATGTCATTGGCAATGATAAGAACAATGAAAATTAATAATGAAAGGAATGTGTCACTGTTACACCTATGTGTCTTTGATGACATTTATAAATACATAATTCGTTATTTGTAGCCCAGTTTTACATAAAAGGACTTTTCAGATTTAATGCTTAAGAAAACAAACCAACATATAAAAGATTTTTTAAAGGAATTTTGTAAAGAATTGTATTATTCATAGTAGTTAATTATTAATACCATAAAATTTTCAAACAAGAACAGAAAGCACAACAGAACAAATGTATGGCATTGAAATCATGATAATGCTTCATTTAACCTGTTATCAAACAAAATCTTGATTATCACCTACAGCATGTCTCTAAAGTTATGCTGTAGTCCATGATTCAAAAAGTTATCTACTTCCCATGGTCATTTCTCATAATCATATTGGACTTTTTCCCATGTATATCTTATTTCATAGACTAAGAAACCCTGTGGCATCGTTAAGGACAATGCTGTATTAACATATTTGAAATCAGAACCTTCTTTATTTTGTTTCAAAAACTATACAGCTACTAACAGCGAGTTAACAACTGCTTTATGTGTCAAATTGTATCATAATCTTTCAGCATTGCAATTCTACTACACAAACTTTTTGGAAAACAAATAACCCTTTTGAAATACACAATTTTTTCTTCTATTTCATTAACCAGGAGTCATAGTTAGTTGTCTTGGTTGAATTATGTTGAAATGTACATCTTTAGCTCAGCTGAATCATAGTTTTAAAAAAAGATTGATAAACATCAGAGCAATTCTTTTGTGCAAAGGTATCAGCCAGAATAGGACCATAAAATGGACATTATTTACACACAAATAGCAAAGAAAAGATCACTAGATGTCTTGCAGCTGACACGACTAACTCGTCAAATGTTCGAATCAGCCATATTGAGTACCTGCTCTTGTCCCCTGTGTGTCAATGTTGTGCCTTTGGGTGTTCTTTTTGCCACTTACCAAAAGAGAATGAAAGTTGTCAGAGATGGCTGTCAGCAATCAGAACTGCTAACTGGACCCCAGCTACAAGTAGTGGTCTTTGCAGTGTACATTTCGAATAAGGTGAGTTTGAAAATAAGTTGGGAGAACTAGCTTATGCTGTTGCCAAATGGATTTAATGTCTTATACACATCCCCCCCCCCCCAGAAAATTAAATGATTAAATAACACTGATTAGACTCCTTGTGAAATATTTGCCAATTATATTAAGACCTGAATATTTTGCTAAAGATGCGTTTAGCTGTTTAGATAAAGTAAGCATACTGTAAAATTAGCAGAACACGGACTACCTTAGTTTGCATTACATACGGATATCCTCTTGTTTTTAGAATGCAATATTTTCAAGTCAATAACCAGTCAGCTGAGAAATATCGACAGGCATCTGTGATTTTAAAAGCTGTTAGACTTTCTTCAGTAAATGAAGATGGATTGTCAGTAAAATATATGTATCAGGAAAGGAAACACCTGAAAGCCTGTCAGTGGAAGAAAGGTTTTGAAAAAAGTCTGCAGGTACTTCATATGGATCACATGCAATAAAAAATGATTTTCTCTGTATGTCGTTTAAGCTCACAGAGATATGAATGAAATGATCCATTCTGGTCAGAGGGGAAGCTGAGCATTTGGTACTCAATATGGCAGTGGTAAGGTAAAACACTTCATGGTGCCATGCTTCTGAAATGCATCTATAGGATAATAGAGGGAATACAAAAACACATGATGTTATTAAAACTGGAAGGGCTTTACATATTACAGCCCTCTCATGTACCCTTTTATTTTCTGCACTATAGCAAAGGGTTGAGATTAAGAACTTTTTATAACTTCTCCATTGCTTTTCTATTGTAGAAATCCAGTAAAAAGTGACTAAGCCTGTGTTTCACTTTAAGTAGGGCTGCACAAAATGGCTGAAAAATCTGATCTAATTTTTTTTTCATCCGAAATCTTATTAGTCATTTTTTTCTCACTTAGATTGCATAATAAAACTGTTCATGATATATATATATATGTATTAAAAAAAAAAAAATCCAAAAACTAGCTTTCACTTCACTCATCCCCTCTGGGAGGCTATGATAATTTAAAGAACACTAAAATTCCAGCTCCGAAAAATGATGAAAAACAATCAAGATTCACAACAAACAATGGAAATATAACAATAAATGTTTTGCAGCTAGTACTATCACAGAGTTGGCTTGTTTATCAGTTATAAATACATGTCTAATATCAAAGAGTGATCAACTGATGTGACTGAGTTATGTAAGCCCGAGGAGCAGATTAGTGAAAAACATTTTTTTTCTCACAAATGTTTTCTTTGTGAACAGAAAATTTCATTAATAGATAAAAATAATTTATCGATTAATCGTCAAGCCCTAGACTGAAATGGATCATCCCTAGATTTATGAAGTTTGCGTAGTACTAAGAGTAGTGCTGTGTCACTTAGTATACTTACTCGCAAGAACCCACTGCCCTTCTAACTCCAAAGGCAAATTACTTTGAACCTTCTCAGAGAATTTTCACTGTCGTACACAGTATGCAGCACAACACCTGTTTTAAGACAGTTGAAACCTTCTGCAGACAGACAAATTTCCCACTCCATTGGTCATGGTGGTCACAGCAGCCACCTTTGTAATGTGGACGATGCAACAATCTGTTGTGGTGAAGAAAGAGCTGAGCCGAATGTCAAAGGTCTCAATTTATTGGTCAGCTAACATTTCAACCCTGACCTATGGTAATGAAATCTCAAGAACAATATCCTGAAAAAGATTTCCTCTCCATGCTGTAGGTGGGGACCTCTCCGCGTTCACTCAAAGAACTGCCATTCTTGTCACTAAATGGAAGCCTTTTCTCCTAGCATTCCGGCCTATCTTCCACACCTCAAAGAACAGTTTCACATTTTTAGAATTTTGGACTATAGTTTAAAGGGTTATCCAGGGCACACAAACAATACCAGGGAACCCCGTACAGTAAGTAAGAAAAGAATGGTTACACCTACAGGTAATTAAAATAGTGAAATTTAGATCACAACTACTTTTTAAAAAGATGAACGGGATGTTATTTTCAAGATGGATGAAGATAGCAACCATTCTTTTACTAATCTGAAAAACAAATGCAAAATGAAAACAAACCTGGTGTCTACTAGGAAGCTTAAAATAGATTTAATTAGAATTGTGAATTAAAGCATACCAGCCAGAGTTAGGAACTTAATCTACAGAACTAATCCTGCAGAATATCTTTGCATTTGTCACCTGAAGAGACCTGTGAATGACAATTAATGTCAAATCCATATGTCGGATGTTGAAACACTACTAATAAAACACACCACAATAAAATAAAAATAAAATGCCTAGACAATTTCTAGAATGAGTTTTTTTTTCATATTTCTTTACGTATGGTTTTAACTATTATTTTTGGTTTTTCAGTTGTACCATACTGAATAAATTTCAGATGGATAAGGTTTAAGAACAAATCAATTCAGATTACTTTTTAAGAAGGAACCCTGTCATTTTAAGATACTTGGTTGCTTTGAAGAGTCACTATATTTAAACACAGAAGGAGAAAAATGTTTTCAAGGCCTTAGTAGAATTGTATCTCTAACAGCAGTGTACAGATGTTTAGCCTTAATAGGTCTCACAACTGCATTTCATCTGGGAATAAAATAGTCCAGGTTAAACATAAAGCCATGCTTAATATTTAGTCAGCATGTGGTATAACATGACAGTGCACACATAGTTTTATAACCATATTAGTTTTAACAAATAACTAATACCTTGTCAGTTTAAAAAAAATTACACCATATAGGAATTAGCAACAGGTCTTTCTTTTTTTTTTTTGAAAGTTGACGAAGCTCCCTGTAAAAATGCAAGGGGAAATCACTTACTTGTCTAAAAAACTCCTCAAGCAAGGAGGTGGTCCATCTGTGGTGGAGATCCCAACCTTTGGCTGGATGGCTGATGTCAGCTGTGTGTAGGAGTAGTGAGAGGGCTTTGGGCTTGTCAATGCTATAGAAATAGGAAAAAAGGAAATGGTATGTCATTCTATTTAAAATGTTGCACAATGAATACACATAATTTAACTGTTTAATGAATTATGGTGTGGAACATAAAAGCCAGCAAATGAAAACAAAAATTAAACTTTAGGGATTGCATCAGTATTCGTGAATTTTGAAAAGCTCTGCCTTCTCCAAATTAATAAAAAAAAAAAGCAGATGCATAATGCTGTACCTGCCTCCAAGAGGCAACGCCTAGTATATGTGTGCCAGAGCATGCACAAGGCCCTTTCTCCTTGTGCATGCTCTGTTTAAAAGCTGCTGTTTGCATTGCTCATACAAGCTTATTTTCCAAAGTGTGCAATGTTTCCTCATGTCAGACTCACCACCAGTAAGTGAAAATGGGGATAAGCAAGTACGAAGGCCTTATGCAAACATATCACCAGAATGATTGACAATTGGGAGGACCACCTATTTTGATCATCCACCCGGAAAAAGAACATCCTCAACTATACCTTTAAGATAGCATTAAAAAGCTTATTAAGCTTTTTAATAATATCTTCAAAAGCTTAATAAGTGCAACACATGTTTATATATCTAAAACTCTATTTTGTTTTGTCAAAGGAACCAGGGGCAGGAACTGACAAAGAATACACATACATGTCCTGCTTTTTAAAGATAAGGGCTAATGAGGTGTTAAAAACAAAAACCAATGAGCCCACCCACGTACTGTATCTCTCTGCTTCCTTGAATAGGCTGTTTGCTGCATAATTTGCTACAATTCAGGGTCAACATTTTCCGCACAGTCTTATGGATGTGACATCATTTGACACTCTATGCACATCTCTGACAGCTTTGATATAGGAAGTCTTGGTTGTTGTAGTAGCAGTAGTAGAAGACCTGCTTGACATTGTGCTTCTTGCTGTCATAAAATGTGCAGAGTGGTGTTGTAGTAAACTGTCATGTAGCAAACAGCGTTACACCCTAACTAGTGCAGTGGTGTGAATATGGCCTGTCTGTGTTTCTCTGCGCTCCTGTGCCGGTGTCGTGCCAAACGAGTTATCCCCGACAGAATTTGTATCCCCTGCGTCGGGAGCGCGCATTCAGCTCCGCCTCATTACCAACACATTAGGCGTGGAAATAAAGATATTTTTCACTTGTTAGTGCTATCGTAAGGGATTCTGCTTAAAACTAGACTAATCACTAAGTATAACACGTTCTGAGAAAGCAAACGGCTCTGTGGTATTCTCCAGATGTGTAACGAAAATATAAGGTTTATGTTATTCGATTGTCGCATGACTGTCGCATGTCTGTCTGTTGAAAATAAAAATCGACCTTTCTGAGTCCATCACAGCTGTCTACTTTTTCGTTGTTATTTTTGTGTGTGGATAGAACCGCATGAATGTATTATATAAAGCTAATTTCAAGTTTGAATAAATGAATAGTGAAGAAAGTTACTGCCAAAATGATCAGATCTAATGAGATTTTAATTCAGCCAAGAACCATATGAAGAACACAAGATGTGTCACTTAAAAAAATAACAATATATGAGGAGTTTTTAAAAAACTACTTTATTGCAATTTTATTAGAATAAGATGTTAAAAAATATTTGGACTTCACATTAAAAGTTTTATTGTTTTCAAGCACTGCAGCCCATTGTTATAAATGCTGACCAGATGGTGTGTCAAAAAGTTTCCTCTCTAAGGAAACCCAGCAGGTTTCAAGTCTCTCTAAGCAGCATTCTCTCCTCCTGAAAGATTGTAGAACCACAGTGGATAGATGTCTGCATTTTTGATGTCTTAGCAGCAATCACTCATATTGAGCATGCATGAAGTGACAGTGGTTTCATATTCATAAGTTACACTGCTATCCTTAGGTTGGGAGAATTGATCTTTGCATATCTTACTGGGTTTTTGAGGCACTATTGGCTCATTTTTTTAAAGTAGGCTGACAGGAAAGGGGTTATGAGACGGAGGAAGAAATGCGGTAAAGGACCTTAGGCTGAGGACTAGGGCCTCTGTATGTAGCACCTGCTGAAAATTTGAAGCTGTTGGCTCTTTCAATGTAAAAGTTACGGGGGGATACAAAAAATATCAGTATCAGCCTGCCAAAATATGTATCCCCTTCTAAAATGGACTAAGAGTATCCCACATTCTAGATTTTTGGCACATAAACACATCTTATAATCACCAACAACTGTAGGAATTTTGAAGCTGTTGGCTCTTTCAATGTAAAAGTTACAGGGGGATACAAAAAATATCAGTATCAGCCTGCCAAAATATGTATCCCCTTCTAAAATGAACTGAGAGTATCCCACATTCTAGATTTTTGGCACATAAACACCTCTTATAATCACCAACAACTGTAGGAATTTTGAAGCTGTTGGCTCTTTCAATGTAAAAGTTACAGGGGGATACAAAAAATATCAGTATCAGCCTGCCAAAATATGTATCCCCTTCTAAAATGAACTGAGAGTATCCCACATTCTAGATTTTTGGCACATAAACACCTCTTATAATCACCAACAACTGTAGGAATTTTGAAGCTGTTGGCTCTTTCAATGTAAAAGTTACAGGGGGATACAAAAAATATCAGTATCAGCCTGCCAAAATATGTATCCCCTTCTAAAATGAACTGAGAGTATCCCACATTCTAGATTTTTGGCACATAAACACCTCTTATAATCACCAACAACTGTAGGAATTTTGAAGCTGTTGGCTCTTTCAATGTAAAAGTTACAGGGGGATACAAAAAATATCAGTATCAGCCTGCCAAAATATGTATCCCCTTCTAAAATGGACTAAGAGTATCCCACATTCTAGATTTTTGGCACATAAACACATCTTATAATCACCAACAACTGTAGGAATTTTGAAGCTGTTGGCTCTTTCAATGTAAAAGTTACAGGGGGATACAAAAAATATCAGTATCAGCCTGCCAAAATATGTATCCCCTTCTAAAATGAACTGAGAGTATCCCACATTCTAGATTTTTGGCACATAAACACCTCTTATAATCACCAACAACTGTAGGAATTTTGAAGCTGTTGGCTCTTTCAATGTAAAAGTTACAGGGGGATACAAAAAATATCAGTATCAGCCTGCCAAAATATGTATCCCCTTCTAAAATGAACTGAGAGTATCCCACATTCTAGATTTTTGGCACATAAACACCTCTTATAATCACCAACAACTGTAGGAATTTTGAAGCTGTTGGCTCTTTCAATGTAAAAGTTACAGGGGGATACAAAAAATATCAGTATCAGCCTGCCAAAATATGTATCCCCTTCTAAAATGGACTAAGAGTATCCCACATTCTAGATTTTTGGCACATAAACACATCTTATAATCACCAACAACTGTAGGAATTTTGAAGCTGTTGGCTCTTTCAATGTAAAAGTTACAGGGGGATACAAAAAATATCAGTATCAGCCTGCCAAAATATGTTTCCCCTTCTAAAATGAACTGAGAGTATCCCACATTCTAGATTTTTGGCACATAAACACCTCTTATAATCACCAACAACTGTAGGAATTTTGAAGCTGTTGGCTCTTTCAATGTAAAAGTTACAGGGGGATACAAAAAATATCAGTATCAGCCTGCCAAAATATGTATCCCCTTCTAAAATGAACTGAGAGTATCCCACATTCTAGATTTTTGGCACATAAACACCTCTTATAATCACCAACAACTGTAGGAATTTTGAAGCTGTTGGCTCTTTCAATGTAAAAGTTACGGGGGGATACAAAAAATATCAGTATCGGCCTGCCAAAAATGTGTCATCCTTTTACAGAGCACAGAGAGTGGTTAAACTGCATGTGTTTTTCAACTGCATCTATATGAAATGCCAAAAACCTTTCAAACTTTCAACAACTGTAATGTTTATTTATTCATATAAACTATATACAGAATAGTCAGAACTACTAAAAATTTTCTAACAAAAACAAGCAGGACAAACAAAGGCCTTCTCTGGTGATGGGTTATTCATGCAGATCTGGCAGGCTGATACTGATATTTTTTGTATCCCCCTGTAACTTTTACATTGAAAGAGCCAACAGCTTCAAAATTCCTACAGTTGTTGGTGATTATAAGATGTGTTTATGTGCCAAAAATCTAGAATGTGGGATACTCTTAGTCCATTTTAGAAGGGGATACATATTTTGGCAGGCTGATACTGATATTTTTTGTATCCCCCCGTAACTTTTACATTGAAAGAGCCAACAGCTTCAAAATTCCTACAGTTGTTGGTGATTATAAGAGGTGTTTATGTGCCAAAAATCTAGAATGTGGGATACTCTTAGTCCATTTTAGAAGGGGATACATATTTTGGCAGGCTGATACTGATATTTTTTGTATCCCCCCGTAACTTTTACATTGAAAGAGCCAACAGCTTCAAAATTCCTACAGTTGTTGGTGATTATAAGAGGTGTTTATGTGCCAAAAATCTAGAATGTGGGATACTCTTAGTCCATTTTAGAAGGGGATACATATTTTGGCAGGCTGATACTGATATTTTTTGTATCCCCCCGTAACTTTTACATTGAAAGAGCCAACAGCTTCAAATTTTCAGCAGGTGCTACATACAGAGGCCCTAGTCCTCGGCCTAAGGTCCTTTACCGCATTTCTTCCTCCGTCTCATAACCCCTTTCCTGTCAGCCTACTTTAAAAAAATGAGCCAATAGTGCCTCAAAAACCCAGTAAGATATGCAAAGATCAATTCTCCCAACCTAAGGATAGCAGTGTAACTTATGAATATGAAACCACTGTCACTTCATGCATGCTCAATATGAGTGATTGCTGCTAAGACATCAAAAATGCAGACATCTATCCACTGTGGTTCTACAATCTTTCAGGAGGAGAGAATGCTGCTTAGAGAGACTTGAAACCTGCTGGGTTTCCTTAGAGAGGAAACTTTTTGACACACCATCTGGTCAGCATTTATAACAATGGGCTGCAGTGCTTGAAAACAATAAAACTTTTAATGTGAAGTCCAAATATTTTTTAACATCTTATT